TGGTTTTCTTCCTATTTTTCAGTGTCGAAATTTTTTGTGAAAAAATTTTTTTATGATAGACATTTTTGCTCGCTTTCTCTCCCGCAGAAATTTTCCGTGCTGGATTGTTTTCATGAAAAACTTATTCGTCGAATTTCCCGTAGATTTTTTGTCAACCAAATTTTACTCGTTTTTTAAATTTTCAGATGCATGCGACCAGCTCTGTAGAATTTCCCATCGAGGATTTATAAGACCTCCACAACCTCTTCGGTGTGCTCCTATCATCTCAACCGCAGTACGGACAACTGGGACCTCGAGGAGTGGGAGTGAGGTGCCCCCCCCCCTCCCCGTCACGGGGAAAAACACAAAATTAAAAAAAAACAATTGTAATTCATTCGCATTGAGTTTTCAATTTTGAGAAATGTATTTGTAGAGTTAGGTTTTTTGAATAAAAACACGATATATCCTTCTTTTTCTTTATTTGAAAAACAAACCTTGAAAAATTTACTTCCTTGTAGCATAAGGATTAAAAAAAAAAAAAAAAAAGTTCACATTTTCTCTTTTATTTTGAAAAGAAAAATTTACATTTACAAAAAACTTCCTTTTAAAAACTTACATCTAATTATCATCTAAAAGAATATAAAATTCGCTTAAATCTAAAAAAATGAGATTGAAAACTTACATGTAGCTTATATCTACGAAAAAAACGTACTTCTGGGATTAAAACTTAAATTTAGTTTACTTCTACAAAAAATTACTCTAATCCATAATTTAATCCCTGTACACTAGCTTAAAAAATCGAAAGTATCTTTCATTCGTTTTAGTTTTTCAATCGTCGGGTTCAAGCGAGCGTCGTTTTGTCTTATATCCGTAGGGGAGGGTTGCAGCGCCATTATCAAGCCTTCGTTTCGGGCCCGTCACGCGGATAATCTTGCTCTCGGGTTTCGTGATGATGTCATGGTACATTGTCCGTCGTATACCCTTGTAGTTGATCTGGTAAGGGTCTACCTTATCGACAACGAGGGCACGAATCGAGTCGTAATGAATCTGTTTACGCGTGTAGCCTAACGCCTTTTATTTTACTAACTTCTGCGATGTTTCCATCCGATTTCTTCACGCGATAAGTATAAAATTTTGGACCGCCAGAGACAAAAGACGTAATGAAACTCCCTTCTCCGTAGCTCTCTACTTCGTCTGTCAAGTCACCCAGAAAATTCCCCAGTGGTAACTCGTTAGTTCCATCGCTCACGTAAATAACCGAGTCTGTATCATAATATAAAACGCGTTCTTGCTGTTTTTCTAAATAAGAATATAATTTGAGACGTGCGTGAGCTGTTGTATAAGCCGCAATAACAACGTTGGCTTTGGTAGACAGTTCCGCAGCTTCGTTTAAATGTTTCC